TTGAGCACAAAAGCTCAGGGACAATGCAGAGAACCTGAGTTCACCAAAAGAAAAGAAAATGTTTTTTTAATCTTAGGGTAGATAAATAAAAAGGCCTTCTGTTGGGGAATGTTGGAGAAGACCTCCTGACAGCATGGTACCACCCAACACATGACAGTCTCAAGAAAAGACAGTGGGGTATAAAATTGGGAAGTAAGCTCCCATTCGTAGATGGGCAGAGTTCCTGAAAAAGGAGCCAGCGGCCCTGCCACTGTGGAGGATAGGGAGAACCCCAGTAGGCTGAGACACATACAGTGTTACCCAGGCCCAGAGAGCAGAGTGTAGTAGTGATATCTGAGTCTTGGAAACAATACTAGTATTGGTAAAAACTTGGAACTTTGATTATGAGAGAGACTGAACTACTGCAGAGAAAATTGGCTAAACTAGCACAGACTGACTTGAAGAATGAAATTTTGTTGTTTTCCCCAGGCTTTAAATGGAATGAATTCCTACCTGGGAACCCACAAGATGTGGTGATTGGCTCAGATTTAGATTTCTAATTCCCTAAGGGACCTGGAGAATAAGAAAATGATGCTGCTGGGACTGGGAAGGTGGCTCATTGGTAGAGCGCTTGCCTTGCATGCATGAGGCCCTGGGTTTGATTCCTCAGCACCACATAAGCAAAAAAGAAAAAAGCCAGAAGTGGCACTGTGTCTCAAGTGGTAGAGTGCTAGCCTTGACCTGAAGAGCTGAGGGACAGCGCCCAGGCGGAGTTCAGGCCCCACGACCGGAAACCACCCCCCTCCCCAAAAAGAAAAGAAAATGATGCTGCTGTGGCCAGAATAAGTCCTCCCTGCCTCCCGCAATCTTCATACTCAATCCTGGAGCTATGCATGTGTTGCCTTACACAAAAGGTACTCTGCAGATGAAATTAGGCCAAAGGTTCCAGAGATGAAGAAATGATCCTGGATTATTCAGGTTGCTGTCTGCTCAAAGAAGCTGAAGGGCTGAAGGAGATACCGGCAGAGAGACTTTAGTGACCTCTAGTGACTGAAAACGGAAAAGACCAAAATTTCTCCAAGAGCCTCAGCTTGGCTTAGAAACTTGGATTTAGCACTGTAAGACAGATTTTAAAACAATGTGTTCTGGTTTTACTCACTAAATTTGTGGTCACCTTTTACAGCTAAAGAAGGAAGCAAATGTTGTTTAGGAGGAAAACAGAAGATAGCTATAGAAAGAAGAAGGAATGAGGTATGCTACTCTGGAGAATGAAATCCAGAGTTGCAGTTCCAAGCTATCCTAGGCAGATAAGTACATGAAACTCCATCTCCAAAATAGCCAGCCAAAATCCTAACTGGAGGTGTGGCTCAAGTGCTAGAACACCAGCCACACAAACAAGTCAAGCAAATGGAAAGTTGAGTTGAAACCTTGGTTCTGGCAGAAAAGAAAGAAGGAAAGAGGGAAAGAGAGAAGAGGGAAAGAAAGAAAGAGAGAGAGAGAAAGAAAGAAAGAAAGAAAGAAAGAAAGAAAGAAAGAAAGAAAGAAAGAAAGAAAGAAAGAAAGAAGGCCCATGTCTTGCAGTTGCTCTCCTGTCCCTCTCCCCTTACTGTCCTACTTAACAATAACCAGGAGGGCAGTGAGCCTGGTAGGGGAGTTGCTGTTCCTCATAGCCAGGTGAAGATAGTCCTAAGTGCTTACTACACTTGTTTCTGATAGTATATATTCCTAATGTTTCACAATCAAGCTTTCAGACTGCTAAAAGAAAAAAATCAGTACACTCTAAGTCCTTTATCAAAATCAGTCAACTGACACAGAGGTCTCAATCGGTTGTAGGTGAACACCTAAGCAAATGAGAGAAGCATGGAACTACATTGTTTTTGGCTTACTTCCTTTACCAATTCAAATATATTAAAAGGAAGCCTATCCAAAAAAATAAAAATTTAAAAAAAGAGCCGAGTTCCTGTGGTTCACACCTGTAATTTACAATGCAGGAGCCTGAGACCTGAGGATCTCAATTCAAAGCTAATGTGGGCAGGAAGGTTTATGAGACTTTTATGTCCAATTAGCCAGCAAGAAGAACCAGATATGAGGCTGTGATTCAAGTGGTAAAGTGCTAGCTTTGAGCAAAAAGAGCCAAGTGAGAGCTCCAAGGCCCTGAGTTCAATCCCTACTACAAGCACATAAATAAATAAGGAATAATAAAGTGCAGGTCCTAAATTATCACAGTTCTATACAGAAATACTTGCAAAAATCACTTTAAAAACAAATATCGAGATGCCCAAGTCAAAGATTTGGGCACTATTTTCACACACACACACACACACACACACACACACACACTCAAACTATTGAGTTTACCAATGCTCAAATATTTACACATATAAAATTAAGATAGTAAAAACAGTGTATTTTATCTAGTGATACCAACTTCAACAAGAACAACTAGGCTCCCAATGAGTCAGTTCTGCTGTTATAAGAGCAGAATGGGGGAAGGGAGTGCCCCAATCTACTTCTTATAGGCTTTGCCACCATGGGACATACTCTCCAGCCTGTGAAAATCAGACATGCTTACTTTTTTTTTAATTGTGCATAGCATGAGGACACTAGGCATTTCAGCATTTCTGAGATTATTTCCAACACCAAGATTACTAACAGTGAGAAACAGGTGTTAATGGTGAGCCATATGACACCTATTACCTTGTTGAGTCTGAATGAAGTATTAATACAGTTTTTGCCCCTTCTTACAGATGCAGTAAGGGAAGAAAGAATGCTGAATACTCACCCAAGGTTAAAATCATGGCAAAGCTAGCATGCAAAGCCACAAGGAAAGCCTTCACTGGAAACTCTGTGAGATCTCTTGCTCACAAGTGGGTCTGATAAGCCCCAGCTGCTTCTGGATAAGCTACCGAGTTGGAAAAGATATCGTTCTGAAGTTTTCCAGCTAAGAGTAACATCTTCAATTGAATCAGAAATTGATTTCAAAGGTGGAAGTGGGCTGGGCACCAGAAGCTCATGCCTGTAATCCTAGCTACTCAGGAGGCTCAGATCTCAGGGTCATCATTCAAAGCCAGTCCAGGCAGGGACGTCCATGAGACTCTTATCTCCAATTAACCAGCAAAAATCCAAAGGTGGAGGTGTGGCTCAAGCTTGGGATAAGACCTAATTTGTCCACAGTAAGCCTGGACAAGTTAACTTCTGTATTAAAGTTTGAAAGGCTGCTCCAAGGAGAATAGTGCATATAAAGTAACTGATATCCAGTAAATATTCTATAATAAAGTAATATTTACTGCTCTTTGATTCCTGTTTAATTTCATCATGCTCCATATATTCTGGGACTTGTTAGCTGGATTTAAATGTCTATTTTGTTTCCTGGAAATAGGACTCCTGTAGATCCCAATGCTTTTTAATTTTTTTTTAATGTCTGTTGCGGGGTTTGGCGCTAACCCTGAGCTCAAAGCCAGCGCTCTACCACTTTGATTGACAGCACCTCTTAAAGGCTCTTCAGATCTCAGCTTCTCACCGTAGCTAGGATTACCAGCTTGAGGCTCAGGTACCCAGTATAAAAATTCTTTTTTATCTAAGTAGTTGTACAATTTCACTTCACTATGTCAGTTTGAGTACAATGCATCTTGATCAATGCCACCTCTTCATTGTTCTTCCTCATCTCTCCCAACCCCACCCATCCCCTCGGTCACCTAGTTCCATTTTCACTGCACATTGGTTATTATTGTATTGGTTCACTCTTCCTCTCTCCATTCATCTGTCCCCATTTCCCTCTCCTTTTGCCCCAACAAAGCATGTTTGATTCCTGGTTTTTATCTAAAACTAGTTCAGAAATACATAACTGGAATTGTCCCCTGGATATACCATACTTTAGTCAATATGTGTACATATATGTGTATCATCCTGTAGAAGTCTTCATATGTTTATAATTTAGAACTCCCACATGAAGTTAGTCTCTTCTTCCACTTTGAAGTCAGTCTCTGGCTGTGACTTCACTTTAAAGTTTTATGTTTATCCATTTCACTACAAATTACATTATTCTTCTTGATGGATGAGTAATATTTTCATTATATATAGGTATATAGCTATATAATACTTAATATAATCTCACTATGTATAATTTTCTTTGTACGGAATCTAGACTATTTGCTTAACTTGGTAAGTGTCTTCACTGTAAGAGTAGTACCACTTGATCATAGGTAGTTCTAGGTAGTTAATCATAGGTAGCTATGATTCGTTCTTTGAAGACTCCAAATTGTCTTCCAGTGTACTGCATTCCCACCAACAATGTAAGAAGTGTTCCTTTTCCCCCACATCCCCACGGGAATCTGTTGCTCCTATTCTTTATAGTCATTGTTAACTGAGGTGAGATGAAATCTGTTTTGATTTGTATTTCCTTCATGGCCAGAGATGTTAAACATTTCTTCATCTGCATATTGGCTATTTTCACTTCTGAGAAGTCTCTATTTAGCTTTTTTGCCCACTTATTAGGTTATCAATTCTTTGAGAGTTGTTTCTTGAACTGTCTGTATATTCAACCCTGTAGTGAAAATTATGGAATACTGACATAGTGTGTTACTGAATACTGACATGGTAGGCTACTGAATAGGAATATATTGAATGTAAGTGTGCTGTGAAATTATATGAATTAGGAGTTAGAAGTATGGAAGATAGAGATAAGGACACACCCAGGGAGCCTGGAGAGCCATCACCAAGGCAACTAGCCCACAAGATAACCAGACCCAGCCAGAGGCAAGTCAGCTCCACCCTCATCACTTGCCAGATGTAACCAGAAGCAAAGATGCCATAGAGGCATGCCTGAAAATCAGACATGGCCAGAAATGAAAGGCCCAGCCTAAAACATATAAAAACCCAGGGCAGGAGAGACCCAGCCAGATGGACTGCCTGGGCGAGGTGACTTTACATCGGACCATCAGACTGACCCACGGCTAGAGCCTGCCACAGCAAACTGGCTGCTTCTCTCAACGACTGGGAGCAGCCCAGAGGACACCCTCGACATGACATGCCACGTGAGCGCCCCTGAGTGTGGGACACGCTTAGTAGAATTAGGCATGAGTTCGTTATCGGTATGGGTTGTATCTGAAGCTTGAATAAATTAAGTAGAACGCATTAAGTCTAAGCATGTTGCTATACATATGCAAACAGCACAAAACCTTGTCAGATGTATAGCTGGCAAAATTCTCCCATTTTGTAGGGTCTCTTTTTAGCTTAATAGCTGTGCCCTACACTGCACAAACTTTTTCGGTTGATGCAATCCTATTTGCCCATTCTCCTATATGCTGGGCCTCTGGAACTCAACTCAGAAAGTTCCTGCCTATTCCTCCTATTTGTTTCTGTAGTTGTTTCAGAGTATCAGATATTAGATTGAGGTCTTTGATCCATTTTAAATTGGTATGAGTGCAAGACAACAGAAATCCAGTCTACTGCAAATGGGTGTCCTGTTTCCCTAGCACCATTTCAAATTTTGAAATTATGTTCCTCAGACCCCTGCTGCCACTCCCGCTCTCAGCTGTTATACCAGCCACCCCTACTACTGCTGCTGCAGCCCACACCACAAGGCAGCCACTACAAGGGCACCGGGTCCACGGCTGCATCCTCTGCCTCCTCCGCTGGCTTGGGCCGCCTTAGCCGGATGCTCCACCTCCTCTTCTACCTCTCCCTGGTGGCTGCCTCCACCTTCTCTGGCAGGTATATCTACCACATCCTGGACCAAGTCCAGCAGGTCCAGCGCAGCCACCAGTCCTGCTCCTGGCAGCGCGAGGAGCTGAGCCAGGGCTTGCAGGGCTTGGAGCAAGAGGTGCAGTCTCTGCCAGCCACATTTGGGACCTTTGAGTCCATCTTGAGAAGCTTCCCAACATAAGCAGGACCTCATGGAGAAGGTGGTGAAGCAAGGAGAGTGTGAGATCAACTGCATCAGTGAAGGCCTACAGAAGTGGAAGAACAAGATCTTCAAATACCTCTCAGACATCCACATGGTGAGAGGTGCCCAAGAGTGTGACTTCACGCCCCTGGAGTACATGGTGAAGGAGTGGCTGACAGTCTCAAAATCCATCAACGATATGCCATCTTCACCAAAGTCCAGAAGAGAAGCCAGAGGAAATTAACAACCTGAGGAACTTGCTGCAGGGAGCCTGACATCTATACAGAGGTGCAAAAACTATCTCCTGCAGGTCCTTTCTGAGAAACCCCACCAATCCAAGTAGTCCACCTCTCACCTCCCCCAGAAAACCAGGAAGCTGGAAGAAGAGCTACACCAGCTGAAGGTGGAGGCCCAGAGGCCCCAGGAAGATGATTTCCAAAGCTTCGATGCCGTAGATGCACTCCAGAAGAACAATCAAGAACTGGACTCCAGGCTCCAGTGTAGAGGACAGAGTCCATTTGGTTCAGGTGGTCTCCCTGCGCTGGACCGAGAGCCTAGAATGACTCCCAAGAGCTAGAAGTATGAACAGCACCTGAGACACTTAGAAGAGACCCAGCTGGCCCTCCACAGTGATGTGAATGACCTAAAGAGAAGTGTGGATGAGATACACAGCACTATGGAGTCATTGCTAAAGTTGCAGGACCAGGCCCAGGCTGCCTATCTGCCTCCTCAGGAGTTACTGAACAAACTTGCTTCTCTAGACAACCTGAAGTCCTCAGTGAGTGAAATGGAGACGGACTTAAAGATGCTCAGGACTATCACGGACACTTTGGTGGCTTACTTGACAAAACTGAAACCAGTGAGAACAATCTAGCAACAGCCAAGGGTTTGCTAAATGACCTAAGAAATGATCCAGATTGGCTGTTTTAAAAGTTCAAAAGATTCACGAGAAGACCTAAATGAACCGTGTGTGTAAGACATGCCCCAATTCCAAGTCCAGTTTCTCATGACTAATTTATTAGTCATGAGTGGTGGTTTTTCCCAGAGGGAAAAAAAAAAAGAAATTATGTTCAAAGAAACTGGTCTATTGTTTTGTTGAGCCTGTGAGTTTGGGGATGATGGGTACACAAGATTCACTTGGTAATAATCCTTCCCTTTCTATTTCACCAAAGTTTGAGGACTATGGTTTTAGTTTAAAGGTCTTGATAGATTTCAGCTGGACTTTTGCCAGGTGATTCTTTATTGCCATTTCAATGGCTTATATCCTTTGCTCGATTTTGACACACTGAAATTATCTAGGAATATATCCCTTTTTCAGATTTTCCAGTTTAAAAGATTTATTAACTTTCCCTTTATAATGTCTTAATTTCACTCATATTTGTTGGATATCCTATTTTTCCTAATTTTATTGAGGTGATTTATTTTCTTTTGGTCAGATTGGCTAAAGGCTTACCAATTTTATCTTTTAAAAAAACAAACTTTATTTTGTTCCTGTGTAGTTCTTTTAGTCACTAGGACATTTCTGATCATTTATCATTTCTTCCCATCTACTAGCTTGAGATTAGTTGTTCTTCTAAAAGCATGCAATGCATCACTGAGGTTTGGAAATGTAGGTGCTTATAGCTATAAACTTTCCTCTTAGAACTGCCTTTGTTGTGTCCCAAAGGTTGTGGGATATTTTCATTAGATTCTGGGAACTTCTGGTTTCCCTTCTTATCTTGATGACCCACTGATCTTTCAGCAATGTGCTCCGTCTTCATTTGTTTATGTTCTGTGGTTTCTTTTGCTCTCAAAGGATCTGTGTCCTGTTCTGACAGGACACCGGTTTATTTCAACCTTGCTGAGACATGCTGTATAACCTAGAATAGTCCATTTTGGAATGTCCCATGGACTATTGGGAAAAAAAAGTATATTGTGCAGCTACTAGATGAAAAATTCTGTATGTATATCTAATTAGTCTATAATGTCAAAGCTGTTTCTTTGTTGTGTTTTTGGTGAGATCCCAAAATTTTAATCTAATACAACCCTAACCTATCCCCAAACGCAAATGCTCAGCATAAGGCAAAAGTATTTTACAGGCAGAATTGGCTAATTTGTGAGAAATATCTAAACCAGATGCCACAAATTCAAACACAGGGATTACAATGGTTATGAATTTAAGTAAAATAGTACTAAAAATGGTTGTTTTAAGACTGGTACTTGACTCCAGATAATTGCCATGAACTTGGCAATGCAAATCCTGTGACCTAGAAATTTTGAACTTTCATAGATAATTGTTTCATTTCCCCTTTCCTAAAGAGGCTAGAAAAACCTTCACAATCACCCACACCTTCTGCATCATATGCATAAGCACAAATGACTTGGTAAAGATCTCATATACAGGGCTGAGAATGTGGCTTAGTGGTAGAGTGCTTGCCTAACATGCTTGAAGCCCTGGGTCCATTCCTCAGTATCACATAAAGAGAAAAAGCCAGAAGTGGCACTGGGGCTCAAGTGGTAGAGGGCTAACCTTGATGAAAAGAAGGTTAGGGACAGTGCCCAGGCCCTGAGTTGAAGCCCCAGCAGAAGGAAGGAAGGAAGGAAGGAAGGAAGGAAGGAAGGAAGGAAGGAAGGAAG